GTGCCGAGGCCCGTTTGTGGTGTGAGTGCGGGCCGTCGGGGGAGACGGGAGGGGGGACAAGCGTGCTTTGGCCCTATTCGAGGTAACTGTACCTAGTGTGAGTACGGCCTTAAACTCAGACAAAACAGAATTATTACTTATTAGGCCTAAATCCTGTACACTGCAGATCTCACAACTTCTGCAATTAGAGGAACGCACAGTTAGTATTAGCTCTACTGTAAAAGATCTGGGTGTTAGATACGCTTATTTCATGTGGCCGCCATTTTGAAGAACCAAAGCGAGGCTGCGGAGGGAAGAAACGTGGAAATATATGATCAGCACTGTAAACATTGCAGTAACATGCTGTGTACTACAAATCCCCAGCTGTTGCTGAGATTTCAAAATGCAGAAATGGTGTAAACATCACTTTAATATCATTCAGTAAGTTTATTTTAAACAACTAAAAGCAATTTAGCATCAAACAACATCACAATCTCTGTGATATGCGTAAGTGTCCTCCTAGGCTTCAGTTCATGGCACTAGTTAAACACTGTGAGGACACTTTTCTGCTTCAGCCTATGTAACCCAGTGAATGATAAAACACTGCAGTCCTCTGTAGCGTGCCCTTGTGTTGTCTGTAATAGTGTTTTCCCGGTACTGAAGTTTTAAAACCAGCTAACGTTATTTCCCCCTAACATGGAAGCGCTGCTGAGCGCTTATGACTCGACTGATCTTCACGGCTGCTTCGCGCTTCAGTCTCCATGTATCTGTGATTGGTTTGCACTCAGTTTACTGCTCTTCACCCAGTGCAAACACAGATACACAGAGGCTGGAGCGTGAAGCAGCCTTGAAGATCAGTCGAGTCATTAAGCGGATCGCTCGTCTGTGTTTGTGCTCGGTAAACAGCGGAGGGTGAACTGATGACCTTCTCGGCCAATCACAATAATTTCTGTTAAACACGTGAACACCATGGCACATCAGCGCTGTTTTAAGAAAGCCATCAACAGTGCCTTAAATGTTAACGGAAATTGATGTTTTTTCTTTTAATTCAGTATCGTGACAAGTCTAATATATTGAAATAATCAGTTTATTAACTCCAGTTTGATAAATGGCATCTAAAACATGTGTTTGGGAAAGAAAACGTTAGCTAACTAGTGCTATTTCCCTTAGCTGAAAATAAGCTCTGATATCTCTTTTTATATTCACCATTCATTCAGAACGGACCTTCGGGTCACCCGGAAGGCAGTGAAATGATAAATTTGTGTCACTTTCTCTTCGCTGATAAGATATATAGCCAGCTACACAACATTCCTATGTAACTCCCAATGATACTTCCGGGTTTCTTCCCAACGCAGCCTCGATTTCGCTTTTGAAAATGGCGGCCACGTGAAATCAGTCTATTAGACAGCAACCTAACTTTTGAAATTCGTATCTCCCATGTCGCAAAAACTGCTTTCTTTCATATGAGAAATATTGCTACGTTATGAAGTATGCTATTCATCTCAGATAAAGAAAAGCTAGTTCATGCTTTTATGACTTGTAGGCTGGATTATTGTAATGCTCTGTTTGCTGGTTGCCCAGCATCTTCCACTAATAAACTTCAGTTTGTGCAAATTACAGCAACCAGAATTCTTACCAGGTCTAGAAAATAAGATCATATCACCCTAATTTTATCCTCCTTACACTGGCTATCTGTTAAGTTCTGTATTGATAATAAAATATTGCTTTTTACCTATAAAGCTTTAAATAGTCTTGCTCCTGTTGCTTGCTATAATCCAACCCGCTCTTTAGGATCTCAAAACTCAGGGCTTCTGGCAGTACCCAGAATAGCAAAGTCTACTAAAGGAGGTTGAGCCTTCTCATTTTTGCCTCCTAAACTCTGGAATAGCCTTCCTGATAATGTCCGAGGCTAAAGCACACTCTCTCAGTTCAAAACTAGATTAAAGATCTTTTTAGTAAAGCATAAATACAATGCTTCACATAACAGTATGATGCATGAGTGCTCCACACAGGTGAGTGGGCTTGACAAACCATCTGTAGGACACACTCCTCCTGTCTTAATGCACCTGACATTTTGCTAGAAACACTCATATGCTTTACAGGTTTGTTTCTATGTCTGTTTAGAACTACTATTTTCATTTACAGCACTTCATTTTTATAAACTATGAACAGCAGCTACGCTAATTATATTCTTTATTCTCTATTTCCACCAGGGTTACAATTAATGATTGATGCGATCTAAGACTTGTGAAGAAATTATGCCAAAGTATCTATAATCCTAAACCAGGCCATATCCTGAGCTGATGCTGCGGCGGTCATGGAGGTGCAGAGAGCATGAGACCACATTGACATACGACTCTTTGCATTGATCCCATGGGCCAGCCTGATCACCCGCCAGTGACCTAACACTTCCAGTTGTCCACGATGGACGTCCAGTGCTTTCCAGCCTCAGGCACCTAGACTGCAGCTCCGCACAGAAAGTTTGGCCAGAGGAGAAATGGTCGTGCCCAACTGAGCTTGGTTTCTCTCAGGGATTTTTCCTTCACTTTCGTCAATTGGTGAAGTTTTGTTTCTCGCCACTGTCACCACTGGCTTGCTTGGTTGAGACTTGTGGAGCTGTGCATCAATGGATTTGCTCTTCAGTGTTTGGAATTTCAGCAGATAAAATTAAACCACACTGAGCTACACTTAAAACTGGACTGACAGTTTCAATTTACTAGAACTTCTATGTTAAGCTGCTTTGACACAATCGACATTGTAAAAGTGCGATAGAAATAAAAAATAAAATGAATTTAATTAAATTTAGTGTCAAGCGATTTATGGCTAAATTTGACCAGCCTGGTGGCCAATCTTCATTGATTGCACATCCCAGCAGTAAGAGCAGAGTGTGAATGTTTAACTAGCAGAGTAACAGCACGGTTTTGCTTAAAATATTGCAATGCAAAAAACATTATGGGTGGCATATCAGAGTTCAAAAGAGGATGAATTGTTCGTGTGCATCTCGCTGAAGCATCTGTGATCAAGACTTTAAGTCTTTGTGATGTATCAAGAGCCATGCTATCTGCCAGGGTAATGTCAGCATACTACCAAAAAGGATAAACCACATCCAACTGGTGTATCTGTGGATGCAAGAGAAAGCTGTCTGAAAGGGATGTGCTGATGACCCAGATTTTAGCTCCACAGGGTCAATATACAACCTCAAATCAGAAAAAGTTGGGACAGTATGGAAAGCCCAAATAAAAAAAAGGAAATAATGATTTCTACATTTACTTTGATTTGTATTTCATTACAGACAATACAACAAACATCATTTAATGTGTTCCTCTTGATTCATATTGTTTGGGTTTAAAGGGCCATGAAACCCCCTCGTTTCAGCAGGGTGTTTTCACACCTCTACTTTGGAAAAAGTCAGAAAAGTGGGCGTGTCCAGCTCTGTTTAGGGGGGAGTGTCTGAGGAAGAAAAGTGGGATGGTGTAGGAGTGTCTATTTGGACACGCGCGAGTTTCAGAGTCAAACACACACACACACACACACACACACACACACACACACACACACACACACACACACACACACACACAAATTATTAAATGGTGGACTTTAACTGCAGTTTGGCTCTTTCATTCAGGGAATTCATTCAACAAGCGAGATATTTGATTCGAGGAACTGCTCTAAGCGTGTATTTTTCATGCAATGTTTGATACCGCACGGCGAATAAGAGAAAAAAACCTCAGCATTTCCTGGAAACTTAGATGCACACGGCAGGTAGTGTCAGAAAGCCGCGTGTGTTATTCCGGTCACTAAATGCGGTGAAAACCCTACACGAGGTTAAAGTTTGGTTGTGGTGCTAACATGTTTACACTTGGTGCAATGGTTAACTTAGTTTGATACGAACAAACTGAATAAACAAAGAGCACTGGTCGCTCACTTACCAAAGCTATAGAGACAGGACAATCCACAGCAACTAGAGCCGCGTCTTTATTTAGAGGATACTACAAGCAAATCCGGATCTCAGCGTTTGCAGATGAGAACAGCTCTCAGGTAAACAATGTTCCTCCTTAGACACGTAAGTTATTGTTGTCGAGCGTCGTGTGCACTGTTAATCCACACGTGAGACTGAGCTCTCACAGAGAGAAAATGAAAACGAAACTTAACTGCAGCAAACTATAAAAGCAACACTTCACGCTTGTTTTGCCAATACAACGTGGTGTGAGTGTCGTCTAAACACTGTGCCAGTAATGAATATTAATGAAGTTGCACAATAGAGCGCGCTAATTGGTTTGAACCAAGCCTTACTCATGCATTAATGCATCACACTGTAAGACGTAATAAGACACACTCTGGCACAGACGTCCAGTCTGCACGCTGGAATACAACGATATTATGTCATGACCATGACACAGCTTCAAAAATTCGTTTCAAACCAGAAGTACGAATTTGCTTGAAATAACGCAAAAACAACCAATTTACACTTTTTAGTGAAATATAGGTGTCCTAGGTGCTCAAAAAATGTGTTTTGGTGTTTCGTGACCCTTTAAAAAAATGTTTGCCATTTTTGTTTTAAACACATTCATAATCATATCATTTGTTGGTGCAGTTTTAACCCATGTTATTATTATTTAGTATTTCCGTACAACAATTTCCGTAAAACAATTTTACAAACAACATTCTCCCAGCTTCTAAACTCAAAATGTGTTTTCTATTGAATTACATTAAAATAATAAATGGGTGATCAGTCGACTAATGTCTTTAATGAAAGACTACTGGTTGACTCTTGTAGGGCAGCCTTACATATTAGTTTATTGGAACAACAGGAATATTGTGACACTTGCGGACTGGGCCTGTAGTGCACTCTCTCCTCCTCTTAAGACTATCAGACTTGAGAACCCTTGAGAACCCATTTTTACTCAATCCCTCTCAGACACTCACAGCTATATAAAGCGAAAATCTGGAGCAGAACTCCCAGCAAAAAAAGACTTACTGCACAAATCTTACAATGTCCAACTAAAAAAAAAGGCTAGGCAGAAACATTTCTTTAGGCAGGATCATCAGTATAACTGCTTTATTTATTACTGTCTTGTTTGTCTGTTTTTTGTTTTTCAGCTTATGGACTCCAATGGCACAAGTGGTGATGTGCCTTTCCTTTATCAGCAAGTCTTTCAGCTGGATCGGGATCCTCTCACCATTTGTGAAACTATATTGGCTGTGTTAACATCTCTGTTTTTCTTTTTTGTCAACTGCGTGATGTTCCTGGCTCTAAAAAGCAAGCACATATTCTTTGAGACGCCACGCTATATTCTTTTTGGCCACATGCTTATGAATGACTCTGTGCTTTTGCTGCTAACAACTGTCATGTTCATGTTGGCTCTGTGTGTTTATCCAATACATAAATCCATATGTACTCTGTTAGTCTTCATTACTCACTGCGCTTTCCGTAATGCTCCTCTGACTCTAGCACTGATGTCTTTAGAGCGTTATGTGGCAATCTGCTTCCCTCTGAGACACTGCACCATCGCCACACCTAAAAGAACTGGAATCGCCATTGGAATCATCTGGTTTCTGAGTTCTATAAATGTTATCATAGATATTATTATTGCTTTAGTTGATAACCCCTATGTTTTAGCAGAAATTGAATTTTGCACGCTACAGAAATTGTATATAGCCAAATGGCAGGTGGACAAAGCTCAGTGGTTTGATGTGCTTTATTTTGTGTCAGTTGCAGTTATCATTATATTCACATATATCATGATTATGATCACAGCCAGGTCTGTTTCATCTGATAAAGATTCTGCTAAAAAAGCCCTCAAAACAGTGATGTTGCACTTGATTCAGCTGGGACTGTGTCTCACCTCTTTTTTGTATGCAACAATAGAGTTAATATTATACATGGTGATTGGAAGCACATCGCCTCTCTTTATAAATCTGAGATATTTAAATTATTTTGTTGTTCTTATTATACCACGTTGCTTGAGTCCTCTGATCTATGGCATGAGAGATGAAGCCGTGTGGCCCTTGTTCAAATATTACTTCTGCTATCATTCAGGCAAAGTAAAGCCTTTTGTTAATGTGCATTAATCGCATGGTCTGATGGGATTTGATATAATAGTGTCAAGTAAAATTACATATACTTTATGTTACTATTATTTAACTGTATGTAAAGTATTTTTTGACATTTAAAATGTATGAGTGTATGACTATATATCAAATTATTATGTAAACAATTAATTAAGCCTTTGAGTAGATTTTAAATGTGGTTTTAAACAGGTTTTGAGTTATCTGTAGTTTGTTTAGTCTTAAACCTGTAAAGCCCTCAAGAAAGTGTTTGAAAGCATTCAGTATTCTCTGCCAGAAATATTTGTTTAAATTGTTGAAAGGGCCATACGTTTACTTTTCATGTCTTATTTCTATTTTTTTGTCTTGTATAATATATAGGCTGATGAAAAAAATCATACTCCCCTGCCGCTAAAATAAAATATTGTCCCTACAAATTGCAGTTAAGAGATTGCTGTTATATTTTGATCATTATATTCAAATATATCATCATTATGATCACAGCCAGGTCTGATTCCTCTGATAATGAATCTGCTAAAAAAAAAGCTCTAAGAACGGTGGCTTTGATTCAGCTGCAACTTTGTTTCATATTTTTGTTTGCAACAATAAAAAGAAAACTATAAGGTGATTGGAAGCACTTCTCCTCTCTTAATAAATCTCAAATATTTTAATTATTTTGTTGTTTTTATTCTACCATCTTGTCTGAGTCTTCTAATGTACACCATGTATTAACTGTATAGTATGAAAGTGTTTGAATTAATAATTTGACAGGCAAGTATTATTTGTATTATTATAAATACTATTTGATTTATATTATACAAATACTGCAAATCTTTAAGTCTAACACCCGTACTAGCATAAACATGAGAAAATCAAGTGCAAAAAAACTGCTCGTCCTCTCTACCATCCCAATTGCAAAAAATTCAAAAGCACTTCAATATTCAATAATAATTTAAAGCTGCAAGCAGCAATGAAAGAGACCTCGCATCCGAGCTAACTGCCTCCCGGTGGCCTTAGGATGACATAGAACAGTGGACAATAATAATTTGAGCTGATATACTGTTGAAGTCAGAATTATTAGCCCCCCTTTGAATTTTTCTTGTTTAAATATTTACCAAATTATGTTTGGCAGAGCAAGGAAAATTTCACAGTATGTCTGATAATATTTTTTTTCTTCTGGAGAAAGTCTTATTTGTTTTACTTCAGCTAGAATAAAAACAGTTTTTTTTTTCAACCATTTAAAAGGTCAAAATCATTAACCCCTAAGCTATATTTATTTCGATATTCAATAAAATAAACCATCATTATACAATAACTTGCCTAATTACCCTAACCTGCCTAGTTAACCTAATTAACCTAATTAAGCCTTTAAATGTCACTTTAAGCTGTATAGAAGTGTCTTAAAAATATCTAGTAAAATGTTATTTACTGTCATCATAGCGAACAAAAAATAAATCAGTTATCAGAAATCAGTTATTAAAATTATTTATTATTATTATGTAAAAAATGTGCTGAAAAAATCTTCTCTCTGTTAAACAGAAATTGGGGAAAAAATTAATAAGGGGGCTAATAATTCATAGGGGCTAATAACTCTGACTTCAACTGTATATAAAAAAACAGAATAAATGACAGATTCTGTCAGCAGGTGGCGCTATGACTGTGACTCAATATGGCAAGCAGATGCCTTCAGGAGAGGAATTTCATCAAGCCTTTGAATTTTCAGGCAGATCGGACGTTGTGTTATAAATACTTCCTCCTCCATGGTGATACACTGACCTTTGTCAGTCTGCCACGGAAACACCCTTCGGCAAAAACTCACAATTTCACATCACACAGGCCTTATAGATGGATTATACGGACAAAACTTGGTATCAATATGATAAAATGTCTAGGAAGAGTTTGTTACACTGTAACGTTTCATTTTCTGTTGCCAGTAAGTGACGTTATTATAACTGTAACTGGACATTTGTCACCGACTCGGTCCCAGTCATTCCCCTCGCTGGCCAGCAGAGGCCACCATCTCCGGACTTCTAAGCATTACATCATCCACTTACTCTGATCCTGCACACCTGAACTGAATCCCGCTAATGACCCACATACCCTTTATAAGCCAGCACCAAACGCTCATTCAGTGCAAAGTCTTGTTTAGCCCCGGCCAGCATTTCTGAGCGTTATTCCTGCCTGATTCCTCGTGTATTACTCCAGCCTGTTTCTTGACTCTGCTTCGCCTTCTGCCTGCCCACGACCCACGCATTGTATACGGACTCTGATATTCACTGCCTGCCCACGAACCACGCCTGTTATACGGACTCTGATATTCGCTGCCTGCCCACGACCCACTCCTGGTTCACGGACTCTGATACTTGCAGCCTGTCCTCGATCTATGCCTGGTAATACTCCCTGTGTCTGTTCATCGCCAGTCTTTATTCATCATAGACTGTTGTTGTTGTGTGTTTGCACGTTAGTGCATATTGTGTGTGTGAATAAGAGCTTGATCAATAAATACTGCATAATGGATCCCTCCGTGCCAGTCTCCTCGTTACAGAAGACTTCGCCCAACACGGATCCCGCAGCCATACAGGTTTTGTCACATGAAGTTACCGCTCAAGCTCAGGTAATCACCACACATCAACAGCAACTAACCCATTTGACTCAGTTAACAGATGAACTGGTGAGATCTCTGCAAAACCTGCAAGCTGCTCCCACAGCGCAACTCACCGCTAACTACTCTCCGACTCAACCCTTGCAAACCCAGACTCAGACTGCATCAGGAGTGCGCTTGGCTTTCCCCGATAAATTCTCAGTTAACCCAGCAAAATGTAAAGGCTTCTTGTTGCAGTGTAAACTATTTATTGCCCAGCAACCCTACTTATTTAAGGATGACAATGGGAAAATCGCTTTTGTATGTTCACTGCTCACTGGCAAAGCTTTAGACTGGGCTACTGCAGTTTGGCCAGACAGTACCCTGATATTCCCCTCTTTTAATGACTTTCTCAAACGCTTTTGCACAGTGTTTGATCACCGTGAGGGTGGTCGTAACGCTGGTGAGGAGCTTTTATGTGTACAACAGGGAGATCGACCCGCAGCTGAATTCGCTCTGCACTTCCGCACGCTGGCAGCGCAAACAGGCTGGGCTGATGACCCACTCACTACACTCTACTGAAAAGCTTTAAGACCAGAACTGCAAAAGGAGATGGCAGGTCGTGATGAGAGGAAGACTCTGGATCAGCTCATCGAACTGTCAATCAGGTTAGACACCTTGCTTCGCACCCGTAACCCCATATGCTCTGCTATTCCCAGTCCTGTATCCCCTGAAACTCCCACGGAGCCCATGCAGTTGGGTAGAACTCGTCTGACCCCCGAAGAACGTGAACAGAGGAGACGGAACCACCTATGCCTATATTGCGGACTTTCAGGTCACATGAAGAACTTATGTCCCAATAAGCCTCCACCTAAGGCACTTCCGGTGAGTGCAACGACCGTTTTCACGACCACTAATGACACCATGAGTGTACCTGTTTGTTTGAAGTATAAGGAGATTGAGATTCCGACTTTGGCTATGGTCGATTCAGGAGCCGCTGGTAACTTTATTGACTGCAAGTTTGCTGCTGCTCACTCCATCCCTCTAACTTCCTGTACTTCCTCTCTAGCCATCACTGCTATAGATGGGCGCCCCCTGGGGGAAGGACACGTAAAGTTCCGAACTTTGCCGTTATGTCTTCGCACAGGCTCTCTCCATTTGGAAGAAATCTCCCTCCTTGCTATCGACTCTCCCCGACACAATGTGATTCTCGGACTCCCCTGGTTACAACGTCATGATCTCCAAGTCTCCTGGAAAACGGGTGAGATTGTAAAATGGAGCGAGAAGTGTTTTACCCAGTGTCTATACTCGGTTTCTCCCGTCCAGATTAACGTTATATCTAGTATGGAGGATTCCGAACTCTGTCAAGTTCCCAGAATGTATCACGATCTACTTGAAGCCTTTAACAAGAGAAAAGCAACCAAATTCCCGCCTCATCGTGAGTATGATTGTGCCATTGAACTATTGCCCGGCACCACGCCCCCTCGTGGTCGCATATTCCCTCTCTCTCAACCTGAAACCGAAGCCATGAACTCTTACATCTCTGAGGAACTGGAGAAGGGATTTATAAGACCCTCTACGTCACCTGCTTCAGCTGGGTTCTTCTTTGTCAAGAAGAAGGACGGCAGTTTGCGTCTTTGTATCGACTATAGAGGTTTGAATGAAATAACCATTAAATACCGCTATCCTCTACCTCTAGTTCCAGCAGCACTTGAACAGCTCCGCTCAGCCCAATATTTCACCAAATTGGATCTCCGCAGTGCTTACAACCTTGTCCGTATCCGCCAAGGAGACGAGTGGAAGACCGGGTTCTCTACCATCAACGGGCACTACGAATATCTTGTTATGCCCTTCGGCCTAGCTAACAGTCCTTCCGTGTTCCAGGCATTTATCAATGAGATATTTCGAGACATGCTCAATAAGTGGGTCACCGTATACATTGACGACATCCTGATTTACTCCAATTCCCTGCCAGAACACATTCAACATGTCAGAGCAGTGCTACAACGCCTCATCCAGAATCAATTATATGCCAAGGTATCCAAATGTGAGTTTCATCAGACATGTATCTCATTTCTGGGTTACATCATCAGTCACGAGGGAGTAGCTATGGACTAGCAGAAAGTTGACGCTGTCACTCACTGGCCACAACCTGAAACCATCCGGCAATTACAACGTTTCCTGGGATTCGCCAACTTCTACAGACGGTTCATTAGGAACTTCAGTTCAGTAGCTGCTCCTCTCACCGCGATGGTTAAAGCCAATAATGCCCGCTTGAAATGGAACTCGGAAGCCATTCGGGCATTTAACCAACTCAAAGCCCGTTTCACGAATGCACCCATTCTGTGTCATCCAGACCCCACACGACCCTTTATTGTTGAGATTGACGCCTCTAATTCCGGTATCGGAGCCATCCTGTCCCAAAGATCCCCGACTACGAATAAGCTCCATCCCTGTGCATTCTATTCCTGTAAGCTGAACTCTGCTGAGAGAAATTATGATGTGGGTAATCGCGAACTCCTCGCCATGAAGGCTGCACTCGAGGAATGGAGACATTGGCTTGAGGGAGCAAAACACCTGTTCACCGTCATCACAGATCACAAGAACCTGGAGTATATTCGATCATGTAAACGCCTGAACCCCAGACAAGCCAGATGGGCGCTATTCTTCACCCGATTTGATTTTCAAGTCACGTACATCCAAGGCTCCAAGAACATTAAGGCAGACGCTCTCTCTCGTATCTCTGATGAGGAAACTTCGCTAGAGGAGGTAGAACCCATCCTGAAAGACCCATTGATTATTGCACCCATTAGATGGGACATCGAACATAAGATCACGCAGGCTTCAGAACAAAATCCTACTCCACAGGCATGTCCCGAGAACAAAAGATATGTGCCCCCTCTGCTCCGTGAGAAATTGATTGCTGAAGTACACAGTCATCCCAGCTCCGGTCATCCAGGCAGCACTGCTACGGCTCAACTGATTCAGTCTCGTTACTGGTGGTCCTCCATGAATAAGAATGTGATCAACTTTCTTAATAAATGTTCTCCCTG